CAAATAACAATAATGTATGTATTAACAATAAAAAATTTGTAGCCTAGTTTGAGGTACCAGAACGTGTGAGAGTAAATAAAATAAATAAAACGAAAGCACTAAGCTTTCAGGAGCAAGAGAGTGTGAGAGTGAAAAGATTAAATAGAGCGAAAGCACGAAGCTCTCAAGAGCGCTTGAGTAATTGTAGTACGTATCAGAGAGAAATATGTGGTAAAAACATCGCAAGCAGGAGAGCTTCCATGGAAATTGAAAGCTGAGAGGACAACTTGATCAGTTTTGAGACAGACGTGAACAATAGCAGTACAGTTCGGTTGAGTGCTGGTTTTTGAAAATCGAAAAGATGGAGAAATCCGACACACCCCTCGAAACATAGGAAAATCCACGAACCCCTCATTTTATCTGTCAAACTTTCATAGCGAATCAAAACAAACATAGTGTAGTACTAGAGTTTCGACTAGAATGGGGTACATTAAATGATTTGCTATGTCTGTACATGGTCAACTGGCTCACTACTTGACTAGCCTATTGGTCCCAAGCAAATCGATTAACGTACCCCATTCTAGTCAACATTCTAGTACTACACAATCTTTGTTTTGATTCGCTATGAAAGTTTGACAGATAAAATGAGGGGTTCGTGGATTTTTCTATGTTTCGAGGAGTGCATCGATTAACTTGGGACCGAAAATAGTACCAGAGCTGAGCCAAAAAGTTGAGCACGTTTCTTCGGAACCTTCTAGTCTAAGAGTTACCTCTATGGTACAACCACAAACGAAGTGACAGACGACTAACTGGCGAAGAAATCCTTTAAATAATGTGGTTCACTGTAATAGAATTTTCTTGGAAGCTTGTGCCATCATCCACCAGATGGGTTAGTTTTTTTGTTTTGATTTGAATAAAGTTGATTTAGTGTACAATGATTCTTTGACAGTGTGCAAAGAGTGTATCATTTTGTCATTTTTTTTATGCATTTCAGTTTTGAGTAGAGTGAAAGAGATAGAACCAAAACATTCTAATACATTTGGTGAAAATGCTAGTACAATCCAGTAGTAGTGTTGCCATGTGGTACAATCCAGTAGTAGTGGTGATGACATGTGGTACCCTGAAAAATTGAAATTGCATGTTAGTCACCAAATTTTTCGAGCCGCTCCGTTTGTCACTTCATTTGTGGTACAACGGCACTGCTTTGTATGTCTTTCGATGGTATTAAAATCGTTAGTTTCCGCCTGTTGTGTATACTGCCTATAATCGTATTTCAGTCCCATATGGATTTTTGTCAATTTTAAGATAACAACGCTATCAACTATCAATTGGGTTGTTTTGTGGTAATGAGGTAAATACATATTCGTTATCTGGATTAAAAATGGAATCGAAATGCAAAATTACATCAATTTTGGTACACTGCAAACATTTTAAATAAGTACGATTACATTAACAAAAATCACCATCTTAGCGCCCCTTGGTGGGACTTTGTATGGGAGCGAGCTGTCAACGAATAGATTTAGTGTCAACGATCAAAAATTTAAATCTTTATTTAAAAATCGAGATGAATGTCTACGGGATCGATAAAAATATCGTTGTGCTCAGAAAACGAAGCTCTATCAGATGATGTATAAAAATCGGTATATTTTTTAAACAGATTTTTTGCTGATAGGGGAATTTACGTATTCTCGGCAACCTAAGCAGCGACCTTCTTTCTATAGCCTTTTTCTCTATGGAACGCACACATATGCAGTATTGGCAACAATCAATACGAAACTAACGATTTTAAATTGGCTCACCACTTTAGTAGCCTATTGGTCCCAAGCAAACGATTAACGTACCCTATTCTAGTTGAAATTCTATTACTACACTATGTTTGTTTTGATTCGCTATGAAAGTTTGACAGATAACATCAGGGGTGTGTGGATTCATGCAGAACATGCAGGGGTGAGTGAAATAGCTTGGGACTGCTTGGGACCGTTGTTCTGGTACTGAGTGAGCCAAAAATAATAATGATTTTCTTCGGGACCCAGTGGTCTTAGAGTTACCTCTATGGTATTGGTTTGTTTAAATCTTTTGCTGCCAGCTGCTCTAACAATTTCAGTCGAAAGAATTGTCAAAACTGTTTTGAAACGCTTTTACAAAGCTCCAATCTTCTCTAGTGAGAGCGAGTATTGTCGGCAACCAGTTTTTCTTCGGCAACCGTTCCATTTGAACTGCATGTAAATTTGCTGTTCTATTATCGGCAACTCGAAATCAGCTACAATTTGTAGTGCGTGTGGTGCATTTCAAGAAAACCTTGTTAGATTGCTTTTTCTTAGTGGTAAAAATATAGTCAAATTGAAGCTGAAAGCATAAAGAATCGTTTTGATGCATTCAGCGAAGTGTTTTCTTAAGAAAATCCAGTGAAAATAGTGTTTAAATTAGTGTTGGCGAAAATAGTCTGTAATGCCGAAGCCGTCATTTCTCCTAAATATAACAGAAAAAAATCAATTAATTTACTATGATTTCTCAAACATTTACATGGGAATTACACTTCGCAACTTCAACTGCCATTTTCTCAATGCCTACTTTTTCCATATGGGACTGATATGGGATTATAGGCTACGTTTCATCTATTCACTTGATTCTGAAGCATCTTTGATTTAAACAAGCCCGATATTTCTGAATCATCTTGCATCTAAAATGATTAAACTTGGCAATTTTGATGTATTTTTCACATTTCTGGTTTGTTTATTTGTTTATTTAGTACACAGCAAAACATTAATTTTAATATCACATCAAAGTGGGTGCCCTTCAATCGTGTCGAAAATATGGTGTAATATTACTTACCAAAAAGGACAAAATTATCATTAACTCAGTGCATGCACTGACATTACGCTGATTTTACTGCTTTTGTTTATTTTTGTGACCATAAAAATTACATGAGATTTTCGACATGATTGAAGTGCATCCTCTTGGATGTAATATTAAAATTTATGTTTTGCTGTGTATATAATCTTCATATGACTAACCATCTTAAGGGGGATTTCCGGTTCAATTGACCTAAACTTTGGATTTTTTTCCAGGGAACTGGTAAGAGTTAGAGACCTGAGTTTTTTGTCAAATCTTTATTCATTCTTGCTCTACAACTGGGAATTTTTTCAAGTCCAAAAATCCAAAATGGCGTCCAATATGGCGGCTGCCCGGCGGGTAGTTCCCAAAACTGCGAGCAACCCAGAGGTCGCAAATCGTCACCTAGAAAGAAAATCGGCTCAGTTTCTTGAAGAGTATAGTTCAGAGAATGGAATAAACTAGAATCTTTGTAAAATCTCTAAATTTGACAAAATGGCGGGCATTTGAAAAAAAGTCATTTACCTAGTTTCACGTATACTTGCTGTTTCGATACCATGGTCGTAAGTACTTCATGGATTGTAATGAAACATGACAGACGTAAACAATACGCTTTGAACTACTTTTGCTCAAATTTTCAGATTTTTAGATTTTTTAGTCACACGGTTAAGAAGATACAGACAAATTTGTGTATGCCATTCTCCGCGAATACACCCTTTAAATAAAATATTTTTGTTATTGTGTAATAATTGCTATTCATACACCCCTGAGCTGTGATTAAAGGCTTGCTGGTGACTTTTCCTGACGCTACATGGTGTTACATTCTTGTCTACTGCGTGAGGGAAAAGTGAAGAGTGAACTATACTCACTTGTAACCTCTTCTTGTTCCTTACAAATACAAAACATTATCATAATATATTATGATTCCATACACCCATAAAACATTTTTAATGCTTAATGAATGGAAGTAGCTCTGCTGTTAGTATAATATATTTATGTTATTGTAATGGACACTTATACCTAAAATACTAATCCTACGAACAGAGAAAAAAAAAACATATTCTCGCTACACATAACTGGATCGCACATATTTCGTTAGTTAATTAAATTCAACGCTCGTTCAAACAATTAGTTCTGGAGTGAAAACAAAAAGTGAAATTCGGTAATTTTCATATGAACATTTCAACTGGTCCTATCTGCATTGATCGATTTTTGAAATCGTGTTTCTTTTATGTTAATAACTCAGCTGCAAAAAAACTTCTCTTCTTTTAACAAACTATGTGTCAAAAAAAAAAAAGTATCGATCAATGAAGATTGGACGATAGGACCCATTACCTATGTATACAAGAAAGGTACGGGCCACCGCAAGGTGAATTAATTTGATTTTTATAACAGTAATCCCTTCATTTATGCGGTGGGTTGTACCATCCACCCACCGCTATTTATCGGCTGTCCTTCATCTAATTGAACTGATTTTCTGTAAATATCTAGTTCATGGTTGACACTTTAGTTTATTGGTTGAAGCACAACCGAGAAACAACGATGGGTGGACGGTACCATCCACCGCATATATGGAGGGATTACTGAATTTGTTGATTTTTTTTGGTCTTTACTGGCGTATACATTAATTAATCTTTTGTCCAAAAACAATCACCCATCTCGATGGTAGGTCACGGTGTCACCTGAATGCTAGATCTTATCTGAGACCCTACTTTTAATGAGCTGACATGCAGTAAAAGGATGGCATGACATTGGCGGTCCATCCCACAGCTGACTGACCGTGAACAAACAAGAAGCGTACCAGAGAGATTGTATGCAAAATCTGACCGTGCGATGGAAAATAAGACATGAAAAGTGTCATAAATTGTTGCATGTAGATACCGTTAGGTTATTCGTTCTTCACCGTTGAGTTTGTCTTCCAGACACAGGTACATTGATGCACCCACCCATGCATTTGCAACAGCTTTTTGTTCAAATCATGCATCTGAATCGAGGTTAGGAAGTGCAGAAGATAAATTTTACATAGTTTAACATGGGAAACACAAAAGATTTCGTTCTTCACCAATGCAAGATAAACGGACGTCAGTGCAACATTTCCGAAAACGTCCGTCTGCATTGTTTGCTAATTTGCCCCTTAAGTGGATAAAGTCAAGTCTATTTGACCGTCTTTGTATCTTGTTTTGTTACAGGTAGATAAAAGCAACCTGCATCGGTATCTACAGGAACATGAGCAAATCTTACTATTTGGAAAGGAAAGTACAAGTAAGTATTCCTCGATGTCACCACTCTGCAAGGTGCTTGGCGCAATTCAATTGCGCGCGCTTGGATTACCACGTGTTTGGTGGTGGTGGCTAGGCAGCTCACTTTCAGTTTACATTCATTTACTACGTTGGGCATCGGCTTCTGACCAACTGACTGCGTTAATGATTTTTTTTTTAATTTTCCACGCTTCGCACCCTCAGCCTTTGCACATTTGTCACGTAAAAAACGCGAAACACAACAGCTGGTTACAAAGCGCACCGGAAGTTGATCATTTCCCAGGCCAACCCGAGCATTTACCACCTCGCGTTGCCTCTGCACCATGCTCTGACTATTGTGGTGGCTTTTGATGGAATTGATTTCGGTTTTCCAGTTCGCAATTTCGTGCGGTTCGTTCAGTTCACGCACTGTCGCTGTCGTTTTGTTTTTAGATTAAGGTTTTCCACTTGTTTTGGTTTGTATGTTGTGCACAATTAATGCTATGGGAGCTATGGACAAAGTTCAAGTTCATCGTGGGCTTTAATATTGTTAATTGTTTCGCACACTCATTTATTGTTTATATGGAGAATTTAATTTGCCTAAAGATAATAACTTTATTTCAGATGACTTCAACATTGTTAGCGTACGACGAAGAAAACGTGAGGCGAGGTCATCAGAAAAGTTTATTCAGTTTAACATTAGCGATAACACAGGTAAATGATAATTGCAATAGTTCAAATTTATTTGAAAGTAATTATATGATTTATTACAGACGAAAACTTTTCTGTGAAATTGAAGAAATCAGAGATACTAATCGATGATTCTTTTGCATTTATCGAGAGCTACGATAATTCAACGCAACTAATAGATGATTCGTATCAATTAGTGCAAAAGTATGCAGACTGCTTCTATCGCAATGAGAATGCAGCATTCGATCTGTGTGAAGGTGGAATTCGGGGTTTGCTGAAATCGAACCAGTCTGACTTAATCTTACATCCACTGCCAGAACGATTCGGCTCTGATAACCATATACTAATTAATAGAAATAGTACTTCTAAGTTTACTGCTCATACAAACCAGACTGATAACAATGTGATATTTGAGCCAGATATGTCCAACTATGAACCTTCGTATTTTGCAACGGCAAACAAGGATCGAAATAAACGTCATATTAATAGTATAAAGGTTCCAGAGGTCCTTCATGTTGAAACTGCAATTTTCATCGATAAAGACCTCCATCGACACATGTCAAAGAATTTTCCTAAAAACACCGAAGCTCATCTCATTCGTTTCGTGCTAGCGATGATCAATGGCGTTCAACTACTCTACAATCATCCCTCGTTAGGCCATCCAATCAATTTCATCCTTAAACGATTAGAGATCCTACACAATGATCCAAAGGACCTCCGACGATCTAGTGATATTGATGTGTATCTGAACAGTTTCTGTGGTTGGCAGAGGAAGTTGAACCCGATTTCGGACGCCGATCCGGTACATTTCGATCATGCTGTGATACTCACTGGACTGGATCTGTATGTGGTAAGCAAGACCGGAAAGGTGAGCAATCAAGTCGTTGGACTCGCACCGGTGGCTGGCATGTGTACGATGACTTCCAGCTGCACTATCAACGAGGGAAAACACTTTGAAAGTGTGTTTGTGGTTTCGCATGAAATCGGTCATAAGTAAGTCAGTTTTTCGAGATCAAATTATGTATCTGAGATCAGAGATGGTCGTAAAATAGTGGATAGCAGGCCAGGGAGGCCACTGTTTAGATTTGGTGTTATGCTATAGGCAGTATTAATAAATGTCTTAATACTTGGGCCTACCGATTCGATTGTTCGTTAATCCTAAAAAAAAAATACTTGAAAACGCATACTTCTGCACCACTCTAGTTTGCAAAGCTTTCGAATCCTTGATTATTATTTTTATCGAAATTAATTAACATAATTCATTAAATTTAAAGTCATTGTACCTTTTAAGCCTGATTTAATTTTTGAAAATTCTGTCAAAAATTGTTTAATTACCTTCAGTGTCCATTGAATACCTATATTATTAACGACAAATGAATTACGGTTTTAATACTATTTAACTGAGTGGTACGGACTCGATCACTTTTAATTTTCATGTCCTTTTTTTGAAAAAACATAATTTTTCTTTTATTAGGGAGACAGCAAAAACGAAAACTTGTCTGAGCCCATCTAACAGACCACGTTTATTTTTCGTGTACTTATCAATTTCAACTTACTTATCGAAACTAATACCCCAACTTTGTTAATCAATTGATCTTTGTTTATTAATTACGGCTCCACGATTTGTGAAAACTTTTTGATGAAACATTGATACTTTCCACTCATATCGAATTGAAATAAAAAGTCGTGTCAGACGCTACTTTCTGGAAAGATATTTGACTGCTGCCGAACTTTATTTTATTTTGACCTCCTGTCTCTTGCGCTGAGTAAGAGATGAACTAGCCTCAGGCTAAAAATCTCTAAAATAAAGAAAAAAAAAAAAAAAAAAAAAAAAATCTTGCGCTGAGTACATATTTTTAATATGCACTGTACGTTGTCTTTTTCTATGTTATTATCGTATTGATTTTTTTTTTCTATGATTTCGTGAATTTGTCATGATGTCATGAAAATTCTAGAAAGTATCTGATGCCGTGGAAATTTTTGTGGTCCAGTTTCTTGTTTCCCTTAATCTTAGATATTTTTCAAAGGTCAACATCTTGAATATTTCTCTTGAATCCATGCAAAAAATCTTAAAATCTATATTTTGTATTTTTCCAGAACCTGTTATTTTTTAAATCCAAAATCGCTAAAAAATCCTCAGAATCACAATTGTTCAGAAAACATTCAGAAATAGCAAATGCAGTTACTGTTAATATCTACCGTCAAGCATTGCAATCTCATAAAAATGATGCATACATTTTCATAACAGATTCTTAATTTTAAGCTCAAAGACAAAAACCAACAGGCTCAGTGATGAAAGTATGAAAATCAGCATATTTGTTATGATTCAGCTGAGTTTTCAACTGTAGTAAATCGTACATTGCCGAAACATGTATGTAAACAAACTTTGATAGAGTCATAAGGGCTCAAGCACTCCTTGCTCAGAGCTTTTGACGGGAATGAACTGAGAATGAGCAAAACAGTTTTAAACTTGGAAGAAATTTCTGGCAGTTTTACAATTGGGTTGTTTAGGGGTATTGAGGTAAATGCATATCCGTAATCTAAATTCAAAATGAAACAGAAATTCAAAGTTTTATGAATTTTAGTGCAGAGCTATTTTAAATCAGTACGATTACATTAATAAAAATAACCATCTTAGCGCTTTTGGGTTGGACTTTGTATGGGAAAGATTTATCTATTAATTTAAATCTTGATTTCAAAATCGAGATGAATGTCTATGGGATTGATAAAAATTTCGTTGTCTTTAGAAAACGAAGCTTTTCAGAATGACCTATAAAAACCGGTATGTTTTTCGAAATTAAACACCTCTATAGCCTTGTAAAATAAAATCGATCGACTCCTTAGTACCCAGGAAAAAGTGCGCAATATGATTTCTTAAACATTTCTATGCTCAATCTCTTGGTTTCCATAGTTCAGTGTTAAAACTCATTAAGCCTTTTTGCGTTTGGGCTAGGTGGCTTTCGAATGATTTTCAGTAATAAATAAGTTGTAGCTTAGACATTAATCACATAAAACTTTGAATCTTAGAAAATTAAAAAAAAAACTGTTCGAGATTTTGGACTTAACCAATTTTTTTATGTGTGTGAAATGAGGGTGGTCCCTTAGTGAGTTATGAATATCACATTTTACGAGGTATTATAGTTTTTAACATGTAGGGGAGATGGCTGTAATGTCGGCCTAAATGCCCCTAATTTAGGACCATACATAAATTCAGCAATCGAATAAATTTTCAATAGTTACCAAAAATATCCATTAGTCCCGTCCCAATGACGCGGTCATCTAGATAAAATTGATAAACAGCAGATTTTTAGCGATGGGCCCAATCTTAGATCCATAGGCCAACATTAGAGCCATTTCCCCTATGTGACCTCTAAAAATTCGTTTTTAAATAACTTTTCACACATTGATTTATTGCACATCATTTAATCTAGACACTTTTGACGGTGACATATTATTCGACAAAGTTGTAAAACAATTAGCATGAAGAACAAGAAAAGCTCAATAGTGAAGGGATAATTTTGTTTCAAGGCATGATTACGTTTCTCTTGAAGATATTTTTAGGAGTATCGCTTTTGATGGAATAGCCTATAGTGGGGGAAAAGGTCGAGTCAGCGGGGTAGAATTTCAAGGCGTGGCCCAAACCCATGTACAGTGGCCGTTAAGGCCTGACACATGGCTCTCCGAATGGTTAAATGTCTACCCGTTGGACATCCCGACCGAGAGGACGCTATCATTCGTTAACGCGAGTTGCAAAAGCAGTGTCGGTAAGAAATTCGGGATGGGAAACCGAACATCTGGACGGATTTTCTAGATAGCATAAACTATTCTTCGGCCGATCTATGGAACCGGGTCAACGCCCTTAGCAGCAAACGACGTTCGAGCCCTCTCCAAGCGCGAGGCTCAACCATCTTGGACCCTGTAGCAGTTACAGACGAACTCGGAGAATACTTCGACAACCTGTCGTCCATTTCCAAATTTGATAACTGCTTTTAGCGCAAAATCAGGTTCTCAGCATCCTTTATTCGTGACTACAGGGTTCTCTCGGACACGAGTAATCTGGAAATTCTCCAGGCCTTCTACTGTCAGGAGTTTCTACATGCACTTAGCTGCTGCAATGGGAAATCCTCTGGCCTGGATGAAATTGAATATCTGCTAATAAAAAAAAACCAGCCTGTTCCTGGTAGACTAAGACTGCTTAGCTTTAACCAGCTTTGGAAAACCGATACGTATTCAACGCGGGACATCACAAAATTCCGACCAATCGCGCTTACTTGCTGCATGGCCAAAGCGCTTGAGCGGATGGTAAACCGTCGGCTAAAGGAGGTCCTTGAGACCGACGATCTTCTCGACAATCTGCAGCATGCTTTTCGGCAAGGCAATGGGATTTCAACGTACTTTCGCGACTCTCAGCGAGGTCCTCAAAGATGCCAAAGACACAGACCTCCACAAGGAGATAGCCTCATTAGACACCTCAAAAGCATTCAATCGTACCTCGTTTTAAAGCAACTCGAAAGCTGGAGTCTGCGTGACCACATCATTCAATTTGTGAAGAACTTCCTGGTGGACAGTTCGTTCCGAGTCTCGGTAGGGAACACCAATTATCGTCCTTTCCGGGAGGAAACTGGAGTTCCTCAGGACTCGGTTATTGCCATCACTTTGTTTCTGGTGTCTATGAACAGCGTTTTCAATCGTCTCCCGGGCAACATCACATTTTTGTATAAGCGGACGGTATTCTAATAGCCACCTCTGGTTGGACCCCAGCACGCACAAGATTTAGGGATCAAGCAGCAGTCTCCAACGTAGTCAGGTAGGCTGAATCAGAATGTTTTCAGCTCTCCGCCGGAGCAAGTGTAAGATGCCACGTCTGCTCTTCCAGGCACCGTGTTTGCGGGCCATCCATCAGGATTGCGAACTAAACGATCCCGTTAAGAAAGACACTAAAATAATGGTTGCAAATACTCATTTCAAAAAGTCCGACGCGTTTAAGCTTTTCCGGAAACGTGGAACACCCGTACATTTCGAAGCGTACTCGGCTCTTGAACGCGAACTCAAGAGCCTCATCAAAGCCAAGAAACGCGGATACTGGCGGCAATTCGTGGACGGATTATCGCGCGAAACGTCGATGAATACGCTTTGGAATGCGGCGCGAAGGATGCGTAACCGGTCTTCACACAACGAGAGTGAGGAGTACTCGGATAGTTGGATTCTCAAGTTCGCGCGAAAAGTATGTCCTGATTCTGTGCCGGCACAGATGATTCCTCGCGAAACGACGAATTCGGTAGACGAGATCAGCCAGCCTTTTTCAATGCTGGAGCTCTCACTCGCGCTCCTTTCGTGTGGCAATTCGGCTCCGGGGGCTGATAGAATCAAGTTCAACTTGTTGAAGAACCTCCCAGACGTCGCTAAGAGGCGCATGTTAAACTTGTTTGGTCAGTTCTTGGAGCTTAATATTGTTCCGGATGATTGAAGGCGGGTGAGAGTTATAGCCATTAAAAAGCCTTGAAAACCCGCGTCAGATCACAACTCGTATCGTCCCATTGCGATGTTATCGTGTATTCGAAAATTGTTGGAGAAAATGATCCTTTTTCGCCTGGACAAATGGGTTGAGTTGAACCACCTACTCTCAGATACTCAATTTGGTTTCCGTAGGGGCAAGGGAACGAACGACTGTCTCGCGTTGCTTTCCACTGAAATTCAGTTGGCTTTTGCTAATAAAGAGCAAATGGCTTCTGTCTTCTTGGATATTAAGGGGGCTTTTGATTCAGTATCGGTTGAAGTCCTTTCAGACAAACTCCACGCTTGTGGCCTTTCTCCATTAATTAATAACTTTTTGTACAATTTGCTGTCAGAGAAACATATGAGCTTTTCTCATGGAAACTCTACAGCTTCACGATTTAGCTACATGGGCCTCCCCCAGGGCTCATGTTTAAGCCCCCTTCTGTATAATTTCTACGTCAGAGAAATTGACAATTGTCTAAGGGACAACTGCACGT